AACATTGGCCCTAAACGCACATTACTGCAAACAAAGACATGAAGGGAAATTCAAGAAAACTAACCATGTCACGCATGTTGATACTAAGATTAGTCACAGAATCACCTGCACTAGGTTCCTTAAAAGCTCCAGCTCCATAACATATAAAAATCTTAGGTCCAACATCATTTTGCAAAGAGTAGTGTGGCAATTTTGCTGCAACATTAAGAAGTCCCCATTTGGAATGGATGTACTCGAGTAAAGGTAACTTAACAAAGAATTCAGGCCTCTGGTACAAAATAAACTCTTCAGATGCACCGGGGGAAGGCCAGTCTTTCAACTTCAACATTTCTGGTCTACCATTTTCCGAGATACGACCATTGAAGTATCCTTCGATGAACTGAACAAGCTCAATATTGGCCTGTCATCACATAAAAGTTAAGAAAAATCACTAAGTGGTATTACATCACACAACATCAGTGACTAGATATCTTCTACAGCATCAAAGAGGAGATAAATATGATCATCCAAACATGACTGTCAATGGACTATGACCTCTAGATGTAAGAGCCTACCTCAGACTGATCTGAACAATTAAAGGCCTTCACTAATTGATTCTCATCTTTCATTCTCTCTTCATCATTTGTATCCCGAATTCCTCTCCAGATAACCACTGGATCCCAGCTTGCAAGTGATGAACTGTCAAAAACCTGCCTGACAATAATGGGTTTGCCGCTAGCCCATTGTTTTCTAAAATCACTGATTCCATTAAGTTTAACGTCTGATGATGTTGGGCAATACAAAAAGTTGTCATTGCTGTTATCTCGATGAGCACACTGCAAAAGGCTGGGATCATCTGACTCTGCTTCTGGCGAGGTTCCAAAATCATGAACCCTGCAGCCACCAACCATTTCCTCGACATTTTTAACCAATTTTGCAACCCAGTTCATTTTAAAAATCCGACACAGGTTCATTTGAAAATAACCACAGCCCCCATTTTCCCTTGGAGGACAAGGTATATTGCCATAACAACTAGCTTTCCAGTGAGGGATTTTATCTGAGAATTTCAATCTCTGTCGGTATGCTTGTTCAAACAAATGTTTCTCATCTTGGCCCATCATATCATTCCCATTATCTAACAGATCTACACTATTTGCTGATGTAGATGCTTCCCGTAGATCTTGACAGCAACTGAGACATAGATCATAGTAGCAGCATGGACAATGCCGATGATAATCAATAATAGGTATCCTGCAAAAATTGCTGAAAGGTAGATGAAGCTTTAGTTTAATTTTCAAAATTGATACAAGAATAAATATCTGAGAAATCCAACAAATGATTTAACTAGAAATAATCAGAATATTATTTTCTAAGGAAAAAAACGATATGCAGACATACTGGAACTAACTGTTTTGAAACATAAAACACAACTGAATAAAGGTTACCAGCACATCTGCTCATCTGCATTCAACTTTGCCCTAAGAAGAAGCATTTTATCTCCTGGAATGCACTAAAATAGTGTAAGGGTGATATAGCAGTAAAGAACCTTCAAAAGTATCCAACCCAACACGAGATATCATCCAAAATCGTACCTTGCATCCTTTTTTCAAGTTTCACTTCAAAGCATTGTTGAACGTGGATCTGTTTGATAACAGGTAGTACCGATGACAATAGACGATAGAGATATTGCAACTTGTCTAAAACCGGTATTTCCCTTATTCTTACCTGTATCAGATAAAAAATATATAAAAAGAATACATTACGCAATAAGAGAACCGGCCTAAAAAATTATATCAATATTCCATAAGGTAATGACTCCTAATAACTCAACAGTTTAAAGTCCCTCCAATTCAAGTATATACCTTTATCAAATTACCACCACGCAGGCACACTTTGCAATTACAAATACCTCTACATGCAGGGCAAATTTTCTGAATTTCCTCCAATGATATATCCAAATACCTATAAGATATCAACAAAGGCACTCAGAGTGATGACAAGGTAGCACACATCTCCCCCAGAAAGAGAGGGGGACAAGTGAAAAATAACAATTCAAGAAGTATACCAACCATTTAGAGATGCAGCTACTGCAGTATCCTCTCCTGTCACACTTGAGACACCACATCATTCCATCTCGGTCAGTTTTTCGACATTGATGGCATGTTTGCCCACCAATCTCCTCAGAGGAATTTGTGCTTGCATCAGAGTACTCCTGTAAATGTTTAAGAACAAAAATCACATGCTGATCAAGCTCACTAGCTCCTCCAATTAGCCTAGCCCCTACCCGCGACCCTTGGTAAATAGTTGAGATAAAACAGAAGGGAAATTCTATTGAGAGAACAATCGGTCTTGCCCATCCAGAACAATCTAACCCATTTCCATATTTTATCCACATCTAAATCTCAAAGTTCACAAAAGCAGAATTATTAGTAAGAACATGGAAATAACTTAGAATTTCATGTGCTCTAGACCCAGATAAGGAACGAATTAGTCCTCCAGTTAACTGTTACTCGAGAATCCCCTCATCCGTACATAAAGTTCAATTGTTTAAGAAGCTAAAGAATGAATAATACAGCAGAGCTCACCGTCATGGCATTTGCATCGAAGCTTTTCTGCGACAAATTCCTCGAAGAATCCGGAGCAGTTGTTTTATAAGTCTTCCAATTCTCCTCATACGGCGACAAATCCCTCTGCAAATCATCATGCTTGGAGGAATTGCGCCCAGGCAAACTCCTAGTGGGCGGACTATCAGGTGAGTACCCAACCGGAGTCTTCGACGACTTCTTCCCTGAATGAGATTGTTCCGCAATCTTACCACTCGACAAAGGCGCATCAAAATCATCACTCTTATCCTCCAAATACACATCACTTTCCTCCAACGATTTCCTCTTCGCTTTCTTCATGTGCGCTCTCATCGCAGAGTTCGCCGCCCTCTTCTTCGCCTGTATGTAGTGCTTCTCACACACTGTTTTGTCCGGCATAGACATGGCAGTACACCGCCATTGTTTCCCGTCGGACCTCTTGCACCGTAAATCGTCTGGAATTCCGACGTCGTCGCCGTTTGCAGAAGTTGATCGTGGATTATCCATTGCACGAAGCCGCCCCGTGGAATTCGAGGCGCAGGATCAATGAGGAACAGACTGGAGTAGAAATTAGGGTTTCAAAAATTTGGGGATTTTGGTTTCGCTGTGGAGCGTTGAGCAAAATCCACCATTGCCATTAGACATTCACCAGAATTTACTTCCTTCTTCACAATATTTTCTGAAAATAAATAATAATATTAAATTAATAAAAATAATAATTTTAAATTTTATGAGTTTTAATAATACCCTTAAAATTTTTTAAAATATTAAAAAATTATCGATAATTTTCAAAATTTTCATTAATATTCTTAAATCTTTAAAAATACAATTAAATCTTTAAAAATACAATTATTATACGTTTAATTAGTTATATCATTTAAATTCGTCTACTAATTAAAAATTAATTTCATACACTATATACCGATTAAAAATTAAATTTAACTGTTAAATTTAAATTAGATACTCGGTTCATATCTCAAGCTCTGTATCTATCGTTTGATCGTGATGTCTCTGCTAAATATTTGGTTAGTTTTAAATTTTAGCCTGAGTACAGCTTTCTCGAATCTGTTAACGACACCCGTTTGAAAATGGAAAAAGTGGTCGATAATACCCCTTTAAAAATTTGGCCAACAATAACTCGATCTACATTGGGTCGTGAATTTATTTGGGTTGGATTGAGTTTAAATAAATTAAAATTTTATAGATTAGGTTTAATAAATCTCGAGAAGCCAACATAAATTTATTATTAATTAAAAAATATGATTTTCATAATTATCTTTTTTATTATTTATTAGTCAAATACTCTTAAAAATAAATTTTTACTATTGGGCAAGGTAATATTTCTAAATATATATTAAAATTAGGTCGTAAATTTCAATTAAAATATTTAAAAATTAATAAATATATAATTAATTTATTATATTTCCACGTATTTTTAGCATTTATTTTATTTCCGCACACACATATATATAGTAACTTTTATTGTCTTTATAAAATTACAAACTAAATTAAGTCAATAAATAAATATTCCACTATTTTTAAATAAGTTGAAATTTCTTATTTATAGTATTAAGATTATTAATATATTTTAGAGAGAAAAAAAGAACATTCATTTTTAAGTTTTATTAATACTCTCGAATTAAAATAAAAAAATATTTATCTTAATATTATGTTTAAAGAATATAGATAGAAAATTTTATAATACCAATAATACCCTTTAATTTTTGTAAAAATAAAATAAATTTTTTTATTATCAATATATGAATAAAAATTGTTTATCGACACCAATATTAGACGGTAATATTATTTTTAAAATTAAAGAAAAATAAAAAAATGTTTTTTAAATCTTTGAAAAAATTGAAGGTATTACTTTTTCAAATTAAAAATAATAATAAAAAATGTATTTATCTTAATATTAGGTTTAAAAAATACAGATAAAATTTTATAATACCAATAATACCCTTTAACTTTTATAAAAATAAATTAAATTTTTTTATTCTCAATATATAAACGAAAATTGTTTATCTACACCAATATTTTTTAGACGGTAATATTATTTTAAAATAAAAAAATAAAAAAAAATATTTATTTAAACTCGAGACTAGAAGTTGAACACGTGCAGAGTAAAACATAGATTGTCTTCGTTCTTAATCGAGGTTCAGATTAAGTTTCATCTCAAAACTTTGTAGTTCCGTGCATAAACCAATTGAGACCAAACACAAGATTCGGAGGTATTTTGATATATTTTGTCAAATTTATATGGAATCGTATGCGGAGTAAAATGTAGAATGTAGCCGTTCTTGATCGAGGATTAGGTTAAGCTCGATCTTAAAATCAACAACATTTTTGTTTTGTTTTGTTTTTTTTTTTTTTTGAAGAAATTACTTCAACAACTTTCATGCTATAAAGAACTATGGAATTTATTATGATCATTTTCTGCAATTACAAAAAGACCAATTCGCAATCTCGTGATAAAAAAGAAACAGATCCAGAACAAAGTTCATAACAAAGAAGAAATCAAAAACTTGAATCCAGTTTGAATCAGATCTCCATTTCTTTTCTCGGGCTGAATTCTTGGTTGTTCGTCGGATTCGTAGGCCTACAGAGAAGAAGAAGAAGAAGAGATGGCTGCGATGGGGAGGGCGAGCTCTGGCCTGCAATATCCTGACCGGTTCTACGCTGCGGCTTCTTATGCCGGTTTTGATGGATCGCCGAAGTCGTCTTCCAAGGCCGTGAGGTCTAGATTCTCTGATGAGGCTGCTTTGTTGCTGTATGGTTTGTATCAGCAGGTACGACCATGTGTTCTTACACCTGTTACTCAGCGGTGCTTGTTTATTCGAAGGTTTGGCTGAGGCTCGAGATTGGTGAATTTTTGGCTGTGATTTTGTGTTTCATTTGTGCGATGGCGGAGCCATAGTTGTGTTGGTTGTTGGGATTGTTTGTTTAGCGATGGTGGTGATGGTTTTGAGCGTGTTTTGGTGTTTCATTTAGTGTTTTTTTAGAATTGCGATGCCCCATTCTGGATTTGAATCGTCTGAGGATTTATTGCTTATCTTCAAATAGCTGAAATCTTCTTTTTGAAAATTGTTTTGGTATTACTGGTGAAATGTGAGATTACAGATTTGCTGAATTACGGTGTTGATTTGTAAGTTTATATTGCCAATTTTCGAGCTATGTAATTCATAGGTTTGAGTCGATTATTTTCGTAGTTAACTTGGGAACGATTTGGGTGGATCCAACCATACAATTTGAATTTATGGGAAGATTGATTCGTGACATGCTTTGTGCTTGGAGGGAATAGATTAGGTTTAAAGCTAGCTCAATTTGCAAATTATGAGGAATGATGTATGTATGTCATTACGACATTGTCTCGTTGAGTGAGTTTATTGCTTGTATATGCTCATCCCCATGAAGGTTGAACTTTATTTGAGCGGATCCAGAGTTATTGTAAGGATACCAGATGAATCTTAACAATTCTTATTACAGGCTACGGTAGGGCGTTGTAATGTACCTGAACCCAGTAGTTGGCATGCTATCGAGAAAAGCAAATGGAAGAGGTTTGTGAACTTATGTTCCTTCTTGCTGTTCTAGATGCCTTAATATCTACTTCACCATGCAAAAACGATATACTGTATGAACGAAGTTTAGAATCTTTCTCATTGTTTCCTACTCTACCATCTTAGCACTTGCAACATAATGAAGCTATTGCAAAAGAATTTGGCCATTACTTGTTCCGTTTTTGACATCTTCTCGTAGAAAATGTGTACGTGTTTGAAAGTAAGTTGTATCGTGGCTCTGGCTTATAGGCGGAATCAATGGGTGGAGAAGGTTAGTTATGGTATTAGACTACTGCTACTAATTAATGGGTAATTGCCATGCCCCTTTCTTTATGAGGGTCTTTAATCCTTTTGAAGGTAGAACAGGATACTGTTTCTTCAAAACTCGGGACGATGCATGAAGTTATTCTACAATTCCCTTAATGCTAATGCCATTGTACTACATGATCAATCGAAGTTTTTTTTATCAAAATGTTCTCTGCTTTCGGCATCAATGAATGGATGCTCTGAAGAATACTTTCATTCAAAATATTATTGTTCAATCTTTTTTTTCTTAGTTGCTGCGTTGTATATCTGATTATGGTTTGGTGGTGTTGCATTTGATTGTAATAACTGCAACCAGATAGTTTTCATTATTGTTCATGCTGTACCTTCTTTGAAAATTGTGGGTTTTTTCTGAATTCATCATATCGTAACCTCTTTTTACAGCCTGAATCAGTGATGGCTTTTGTGTCCGAAGTTAACGAACTATACTTTTAGGAATTTGGATCGGCAGTGCAATTAGGTTGCATAGAAGTTTATAACATGCTTTTTAACTCATTGGGTAATTATGGTTTTGTTTCGATCATTTTGAGATTTCCTAAGGATCTTATTTGGGATTCTGCAGCTGGAATGGGCTTGGAAATATGGTTCCTGCTGAAGCCATGCGCCTTTTTGTGAAAATATTGGAGGTCCGCATGAATCAAACACCAAAAGTCCGTGTTTGTTGTTGCAATTTCATTTCAATTATTCACGATTGTTTGCTCTTGGTAGGAAGAAGAGCCAGGTTGGTACTCAAGAGTATCAAGCTTTGTCCCAGATCCAGAGCCGGTGCCAGTGCCAGTGCCAAAGCTAGTGCCAGTGCCAGAGCCAGTTTTAGATGTGCAAATTAATGTGAGCATATGGAATCTGTTACAAATCTTACTGCCATTTAGTTATCTTGATTTTGCTATATTGTGGTAATGTGAAATTTTTATTTGCATATTTTTTCTAAGGTAATACTAAAATGGGCATGACAAGGTGAACCATTTTTAATTTCTTCTTTGCCCCAGTTCTGATGTCTAATTTTTACTTTTACCAGTTTACAAAATTTTACAGTTACTTTACTGATGTTCTTGACCTAATATATTGTCACTATTTCTTTTTTAAAAAAATTATTTTATTTGCAAACATAACTTAAATGTTTGATTAGCTTTCTAAGCTTTCAAGGTTTTCAAATTTGATAGATGTTGGAAATAGTTTAAATTGCATTAAATGTTTTAGAGAAAAGCTCAATTATTAATTAGGTAAGTGAGTTAATTTTAACCTTAGGACTTTTAAGTTCATCGATTTAAACCCTACACTTGAATTAGTGATGAATCGCCTACAATTGAGTAAATGGTGAATAAGTTGGGTTTCCCTTTTTTTTTCCTTCCTTTTTTTGGAAGATTTGTGACCAGTCATGTGCATAGTTTTTTTAGGTAGATGAGATTGTTTTTGCCAGTGTTGGTTTTTTCCTATTGTGTTGGCTGCTTTTAATTAATTGAATTTGTGCATTGTTAACTAAGCTTGAATGCTTTTTATATGCTTGATTTTATAGTTGAGTTCATGTATTTTCATGATTGAGTATGCACATTTCTATTATGTGATTTTGGGTGTTTTTCTATTTGAATTTGTATGATATATTGGTTGATTTGTGGACAATATTTTAACTTCGTTTTGAGGAGACATTAATTGCATCAGTTCCTCATTTTTTTTCTAAAGATATGATTAGAATTTTTACTTTTTCAAAATTGTTACTTAAAGGACCATTCAACATGTTAAAAAAAAAATCAAAATTTTAAATTTTAAATAAAAAGAAATTGATATCAATAGTAAACCTTCAATTTCATATAGCCTTCCTTTCTCACTCGTTTTCCTGATAACTGAACTTATAGCTCTGTTGGCTTTTAGAATGATTCAAAAGCTGAGCCGATTATTGTAAATGGGAATTCAATCCCCGAGACCAAGACTATATCAACAGAAAATGGAAGCCTGCCTGAATCTCAGGATAAGGATGTTCTTGTGGAGGGTCTTGGCTCTATTGTTGTTTATGATCAGTGGATTTCACCCCCTGTATCTGGTCTTCGCCCAAAAGCACGATATGAGGTTTTGACCATTCTTCTCTCAACTCATTAAAAATGTGATCTTCTACCATGTCATTCTCTAAAGAAAGGGTACTGACATTTTTCAGCATGGAGCAGCAGTTATTCAGGACAAGATGTATATTTTTGGAGGAAACCACAATGGTCGCTATCTCAATGATCTTCATGTGAGCAAAACATTTTACATGCTTTTGCTGCCTTGTGCAATTTCTCATTTCAGATTTTGGGTCATTCTTTTACTCCAACTATGACTTAGTGTGAAGTGTGTTTCCCTCTATTTCAATTACAGAATAGATGAAATAATGAATAAATAAAGGATTTTTGTTTTAGAATGAAATCTTATTGGCACCGTAAAAAATTATTACTATTGTTTTTTCCAGATGTTTTTATTCTAAAATAGCCTTATCTTCACTGGGTGGTGGAATCTATGCTTTGTCTACTTTCTACAGCCAACGGCCAAATTGATTATTTTCTTGTCTGAAGAACAGAAAACAGAAAGTCCTGGGCAATCTAAGCGATGATATAAACATTGACATTCTTTTCTGTTGTGCACCTAAACCCTTTATTTTGCCGTATTTATTAATTTATTTATATAGGTCTCATTTTTTTTATTATTATTATTTTAACTCCTGCACTTACATGTAGGTTTTGGATATGAGAAGTTGGGCTTGGACAAAACTTGAGGCTAAGACCCAATCTCCTGAGTCACCCCCTGAAAAGCTAACCCCCTGTGCTGGTCATTCATTGGTTAGTACAGAATTTATTTATTTTAATTTGTACAGATGTTTTCTTGTAGATATCGTCATATTGTTCTTCCAATTGATGTCTTAGTCTTCCTATGTCCGCCATTATCATACTGCAGAATTCTATAGCAATTATTGGTCATGCAATATCTTTTTACTTGATATTGATATATAGCATTGATGTAATATCAGATTACTGCAGTTTGTAATCTACCTTGTTTGACTGTAGATATCATGGGAGCACAAACTTCTATCAGTAGCTGGTCATACAAAGGATCCTTCTGAAGCTATTCAGGGTACAAATTTAGTGCTTTTCCGATGTTATTTATCTTAAGTTTGGTGAATAAATTACTGGAAGATACCTTCAGGGATGTGTTAAGTTATTGGCTGTTTAATTATATATTTAACTGTCTCTTCTACCAGGGAAACCTTAGGAAGAACACCTGAAAATATTTTTATCTTCTTCAGATCTACTAGAATCTTCATCTTTATGGGAAAGCGAGATGAAAGCTATAGATTCGCTTCTTTAGCAACAAATGTGTTTTTCCTTGTATCCAAGTACATCACTTGTCTTCACTTCTTTTATTACAGTTAGGGTCTTTGATGTACAAACCTCCACGTGGTCTAACTTGAAGACTTACGGAAAACCACCGGTATGTACCAATGATCTTTTATATTAAATGAAATAAAGAAAGAAAATTATCTGAAGAGCTGGATAATACTTGTTCCTGCTGCCGTAGAACTTATATCCATGCATACATTTATGCTGCTTCATCCTTCCTTTTAACCTTCAAAGTTAAAGAATCAGCTTTTGGCTTTTGTAGTTTTCCCATAAGGGCGTAATATCGATGACATTTTGTTTGGCATTGCTTTTGAGAATAAACTACATGTTGAACTAGGAAACAGCTTTAAGTTGCAATTTCAATTTCTTAGTAATTAACTGAAGGCGCTTTGATGTGTCTGGCTCTTTTATAGCTGTTACACGTGTTCTAAATTTATCCGGGTTCTGTAAATTGAAGGTTTCCCGAGGTGGTCAGTCAGTGACTCTTGTTGGGACAAGCTTGGTTATATTTGGCGGGCAAGATGCTAAAAGAACTCTTCTGAACGACTTGCACATTCTTGACCTAGAAACCATGACCTGGGATGAAATTGATGCAGTGTAAGAAAATAAAAAAAAATTCAGCTTACGTCTTTCTCCTATGGAGCCGTACTTTTCTTTCAATTTCCCATTTTTGTTTTGTACCCTGAAAATTGGCAATACTTGGAGAATATGGAGGATTTTGAAGTCTTTTGAATTTTGTTTAGCTTCAAGAGAATGAAGTATTCCATTATATATTTGGCTGATCTTTTATGACAATACTGCAGCGGGGCTCCTCCCTCTCCAAGGTCTGATCATACTGCTGCAGTACATGCTGAGCGCTATCTCCTCATCTTTGGTGGGGGTTCACATGCTACTTGCTTCAATGATCTGCATGTTCTTGATCTGCAAGCTGTAAGATTATCAATTTATACTAGTGTTTATTGATGATATAGTGTATATTGTATGTATTGAATATTATATGGATTGTTGATTGCATAGATGGAATGGTCAAGACCTACACAACAAGGTGAGATACCAACTCCACGAGCTGGACATGCTGGTATTACAGTTGGAGAGAATTGGTTCATTGTTGGTGGTGGGGATAACAAGAGTGGTATGCACCCGTCTTTTTTTTCTATTTCATAGTTTTCAACAATCATCCTTGCTTTTTCCCCTTCGATAATCTTCTCGTGTTAACAATCTGGAAGCAATAATGAACCTTCTCTTCTATTGTTGAAATCAAATTTCTTTCAAGTAGGTTAATGTGTGTTGAGGATCGTTGGGAGGGAGTCCCACATCTAATTTAGGGAATGATCGTGGGTTTATAAGTAAGAAATACATCTTCATTGGTATGAGGCCTTTTGGGGAAGCCAAAAGCAAATCCATGAGAGCTTATGCTTAAAGTGGACAATATCATACCATTGTGGAGATCCGTGATTCCTAACAAGATGATTGCAAGTCATCCATGATATTGAATAAAGTTTTGAATGTCACAAAAATTCACCATATGCTCCATTATCACACTTACTGATCGCATCCTCCTGATCTCCTGCAGGGGTCTCAGAAACTATTGTGCTGAATATGTCTACGCTTGTTTGGTCAGTTGTAACATCTGTTCAAGGGCGTGTTCCTATTGCTAGTGAGGTGCCAATTCTTCTAACCTATTCGCCATATTCTCCACCATCACATTAACTAAGCACGTCTTAAGCTTTTAGATCGAACCATGTAAAATAATAAAGGCCCCATATTTTCTTCTGGGAGAATGCCAATGAAGATTTCACTGTGAATACAGATGTACTTTTAACTGCTACCATTGAAGTTATTAATTGCCATCTGATCTCTTACAGGGCATTAGTTTGGTTGTAAGCTCCTACGGTGGCGAAGACATCATTGTGTCATTTGGAGGATACAATGGACGTTATACCAACGAGGTGAATGATGATTTCTAGTGTTGCCTTCTCTTCTGGCTTCCCCCTTCAACTCACCCAGTATCTTGCTTTTAGGTTAATGTTCTTAAACCTAGTCACAAATCAACCTTGCAATCAAAGTTGGCTGAGACTCCAGTTGCAGACAGTGTTTCAGCTGTCCATAACATCACAAATCCCACGGGCGATGTCGAATCCGAGTATGAACGGGCTCAAGAAGGAAAAATTAGGGAAATTGTTATGGACAACATAGAGCCAGAGCATTTGGTACGTCCCGATTCATGATGTTTGCAGCTTTTGATTTCTTACTTTTAAGATATTGTGCTGCTGAGTATTGATCTATGTCACTATTGTAACCCTCGAAATTTTGTGCCATGTGTACATCAGAATTTAAATATTAAAGAAGCTATTCGATTTTATATTTGGTCAACTGTACACAACGAGCTGATTTGTAGGTAATGAGAGTATCAATGACAGTTAGAAAATGGCTAAATAATCGAGTAAAAGAACGTAGAATATACTAATTTAATCTTTCCTATTACTTAAACCAAGATTATTAATCTTGACCAGAAAACATTATAATCTTGACCACTTCTCGTTTTTATCCTATGATTGTATACCTTTCCTATTACTTAAACCAAGATTCTTAATCTTTCCAAGTATAGCATGTTGAAAATGACTAATGGTCTAAACTTCACTCAGAAGAATAAAAGCGAGCAAACGAAAGAACTCGTAGCAACACTGAAGGCCGAGAAGGAAGAACTGGAATCATCCCTCAGCAAGGAGAAGATACACTTTCTACAACTAAAGCAAGAGTTAGCTGATGCTGAGAACCGTAACACTGAGCTGTACAAGGTAATTGCTTTCCCCAAAACTAGTTACATTCTGGAAGTGATAGGATAGCTCCAATGATGCTCTTCATTGCTTTGAAAATACAATCATTTAGAAAACAAACTTTCATTTAAAGAGTACAATGAGCATACCCAACCCTGAAAAAACAAAACTAAAATAAAAAAGGGTTCCTTCTGAAAATAAAATTGTTCATCTCATGAGTTGTGGGAGAGATATCTAATTGAAAGGGACGTTCGACCCGGTAGACTAGAGACTTTACATTGGGCAACTTTTGAATTTCGAACAAAATTGATTGCACAATTCCTTTTGTAAAGAAACTGGATGCTTGACTCTTCATCGTTTTGTACAGGAGCTGCAATCTGTACGCTCGCAACTTGCAGCTGAGCAATCAAGATGTTTCAAACTTGAGGTTTGTATTCCCTAGTTCCCTTCATTGAGTACTGTAGCTGAAGTAAAGGTGGAAGTCGAAATTGAGTTTTACCAATCGAAACTCGTTGGATCAACTCGGCTCATTTAGATTGAGCAGTACTTGTTGGTCGGTTCAGTTCCATAAAATGAAAAACGAAAAGTAGTCAGTTTGTTTTCGATAAATTTTGTTGGTTCTGGTCAAGGAGGAGATAGATCTAGGCAAAAAAAAAAATGTCTCCACGTTGGTTTTTTATTTTGCTTAAATCAATAGTTCGGGTTGACACGAACCAACCTACTGATGCTCTCAGTCGATCATAGATAGTTCAGTTCAACCCGAACCAAACAGCTTACCCCTTCTGTCAAACAGTTGTGTCACTTTCCATTATTTATCCATAAATATCTTATTCATCTGCCTCATCTTTCAACGATCCGCCAGGTCGAAGTTGCAGAGTTACGACAGAAGCTCCAAACGATGGAGTCGCTACAAAAGGAACTCGACCTTCTACAGCGACAAAAGGCAGCATCTGAGGAGGCCTTGAGGGCAAAACAGAAGCAGCAGGGCTCAGGTGGTGTATGGGGATGGTTGGCTGGATCACCCCCTCCAGAAGATGCCTGATTTCTTGACCCCTTCATTGGTTAGTGACACCATTAGCTTACAATTATTACATTTTTCCTTCAATTATATTTGGCTCACATCTTCACATAGTAATTTTTCTTCAACTGATAATAAGATCATTATCAGTTCTTTTATATTGTTCTTCAATTAGGGAACCCAAATGAATGTGTTATAAACTTGAGCTGTGTATTTCTTTTATTGTTAATCTTTTTATAAAAGGTTTTGTAACAGAGGTGGTTGAATATAATATATAGCTTCATTTTTCATTGTTTAATTCTATTTTGAGAAATGATTTTATCTTAAAGTGAATTGATTGAGTGTTCTTTCTTATTTCATGTGGGAGTGTTTTTTTTAAGTATTTAAATTATTTTCATTTTAAATTTGATATCAATATTTGCATATCTATATTTTCTAATTTAGTTTTTGAGTTTATTTTTGGAGTTTTAATCTTGGGGATCGAGAAAATGAATTGATAAATTTTATCTACGAAAAATGTGAATTTAGTCTAGTTCAACTAATAAATGTACGTAGGTTGGGTAGATTAGGTCGGGTTGAGATAAACATTAAATAATATATTTTTAGGTTAAGTTGGGGTAGATTAGGGGTCGGGTTGAACATTAAATAATATTTAAATGGTTAAATATATTTTATAATATATATATATATTTATTTATTTATTGTCTGAAATTCTTTCCGATATTAAATGTTAAAATTGGTTGACTACACAATTATTTAAAATAAATTCAAATGAGAAATAAATAATATAGTTATTTAAATGGCTAAGTAGAATTAATTAGAGTTAAAAAAAATATATTATTTGCTAAATAGAATTAATTAGAGTTAAAAAAAATATATATTATTTTAATGAGAATGTTAAAATTGAAAAATTATGAAATGATTAATTAAAATTTTTAAAATAATAATGGATCGGATTAAAAAAAAAACTAGTAATATATAAATGGATAGAAATTAATTTTTTATATGTTAAATAATTTATTAATAATATTATCTAAAAATGGGAAGAAATTAAAAAAAATGTAATTTAAAATCTTCCTTTATATTAAAATTGAAAAATTTGCAATATAAAAAAAGAGCTTGGAACTCATTTATAATTATCTTTTTATTTTAAATTAATTAGTATAATACATATTATAAACTAGCCAATTAATTTTTTTTGTTTAAAATATTATATTTTTTAAATTATATTATAAATTATAGAATTAAATGAATTTAAAATATAAAATATAATAATCTTCAAAATTATATTTATGTTCATAAAAAAAAATTATATTTAAAATAAGAATGGTAATAATAATGTTGATTTACATTAAAACTATAAATCAATTAATGTAATTGAAATTACACAAACCGTTACAAAAATTATAAAATCATCCAGTATTTATATAAATTTTAAAATATACACTCGAAAATTAAAAAAAAAATTATTGTAACAATTTTATTAAATAATATATCTAATATAATAACTAAATTTCAATCTTAATTTTATTGATTTGGATGAATTTTTGTTATAAAAAGATAATATACTTATTTAAATTAAAATTTATAATAATTTATATGTGTAGTGAAAATCTGTCTCGAATTATATTATATAAATAAAATAAATTGATAATTATTATATTCAAAATTCAGTTATTAAGAAAGTCTATTAAATTTTAATTTTTCATTTTAAAATTATAAAACAAATTGTTATAAATTGGAGAGTGATATTTATTTTTATATAATTAAAAATATAAAAGGATCATGATTTTGTCGTTTTGTTGGCTTGGTTACTCTCAAATTATTTTTTTTTTTTTTGCGGTGGAAACACGAACTCTTTCTAGGGTTTTAGATTTGCCCGAAATTAGACACTTTCTACAAGAATATTCAGCTCTGTTTCGTCTCATTTCTCACTGAAATTTGGCTGATTTCGTTCTTTGCATCGTGTAGTAGGGTTTAGGATATGATTTCACCTCATCTCAAATGATTTCGGTGATGAATAAGGATTTTGAATTCGAGAAGAAATCAGATGATGGCCTGGAAGAGTCACGGGCGGAGGATATAGATCTCGAGCACACCGCTGATAGTTCGAGCCACGATGATCAAGTTTCTGATTCCAGAGTTGTTAAGGAAGCTAGGGTTTCCTTAATGGAGCTGGATCCCGGAGCTCGGGGGAGCGAGTTCGATGCGAAGATGCTTGGAAATGGTAGATCTGTCGAGTTTAGGGTTTTCCCGTCGGAGGAGGTGGGGTTTTTGGTTAGTTCGGATGGCGAAGGTGGCGGCCCAGGTATGGATATGAAGTTCTCGAGCTCTCTTGTTGATGTTAAAATCTCGAAAACTGATCGATTTGATGGTTCAGTTGGTCATTTGGATGCACAGAACGATCGAAAGTCTAATTTATCTCAGTATAAGTTCTTAATGTCTGAGTTTGATGATTATGTTGCGAATGAGAGTAGCGGTGCAATGGTTGCGGCGGCAACTTCGAGGGCGATGAGCTATGGGTTTGAGGTCGGGGATATGGTGTGGGGAAAGGTCAAGTCTCATCCATGGTGGCCTGGGCATATTTTTAGCGATTCTCTGGCTTCTCCTTCTGTGCGACGCACCAGGAGAGATGGATATGTTTTGGTGGCATTTTTTGGTGATAGCAGCTATGGGTGGTTTGACCCTGCTGAGCTAATCCCATTCGAGCCTAACTATTATGAGAAATCTAGACAGACAACTTCAAGGACCTTTTTGAAGGCTGTGGAAGAGGCAGTCGATGAAGCGAGTCGGAGACGGGGTCTTGGTCTAGCCTGCAAATGTAGGAATCGTTACAATTTTAGGCCGACGAATGTGCCGGGATACTTCGCCGTTGATGTTCCAGATTTTGAGGTAGGAGGTGTTTACTCTTGGAATCAGATTAGGAGGGCGAGAGATAGTTTTAAACCCAGTGAAACTCTCTCGTTTATCAAGCAATTGGCGTTGACTCCGCGAGGTGGTGATCATAGAAGCATTAACTTTGTGAACAATAAGGCTACAGTCTTCGGTTATCGAAGAGCGGTTTATGAAGAGTTTGATGAGACATATGCTCAGGCATTTGGTCCACCATCTGGGCCTGGACGTCCCCCTCGCAGCTCGGTTGCTTCATTGGATCAGCATAGAGAACCAGCTCGAGGTACTCAGTTACAGGATTCATAGGTTCTTACTTGTTTTCAGTAGTTTTCAGCTTGGAAGAAATTATGTTACCTTTTTCAGGCATGTCGAGATAAATGGAGTTCTGTGCTTATCATGGTTTCTTGATTTACATTCCTGCCATTTTCTGTTCTAGTATTTGAAAAGGAATCTGTGTGCATACAATTATGCACGGGGACGATACTCACTCGACAGATCTTGGATGGTCTGAACACCTAAGGAACTGTCGGGTATTAATGTTCGAAGCATGGTCGTGCGTTTCTGTAAATTGTGTACTCTGAATGCTCTAACTCACCACCATCGCTGTATGCAATCTTTCATTTGAACACTTGATGCATTTCTTTTTTTACTCAACCGGTCAATTTTAACGAGCCTCATAAATGATCAAACTAGTCCACTTCACGTTCCCGAGTTCCCGAATCTGTAAACTTCAACTTCTTTTTGGCATTTTCACCACCGTGTTTTTCTGCAGTTGTGTATTTCAGTCCAAAAACCAACCTTTCTTAGAACAATGTCAAGTGATTTTGTGGTTAGTTCTTGACTTTGTATTATTAGCATGTGTTTGTATGTGAATTGTAGCAGGGAGATCCGTATTTTTCGTCTTCGGAATAAATTATTCATATGTCGATTTGTGGTCGATTCCAGTTGTTCGATGCTATGAAATTCTGTATGTCGATTCCGAATGAAGATTTAACTTGCATAACTTGCTCGAACGGCTTAAATCAAGATAAATTTCTTATGTTCTAGGAAATGTTGTGTGTTATATTATTATTTTTTGAATCTGATGGATTTGCTTTCAACAGCTCCTTTGAGTGGCCCCCTAGTAATTGCAGAAGCTTTGGGGGCTGGGAAGAGTGCAATAAAGCCTATGAAGTTAAAGGACCAATCTAAGAAAGACAGGTACCTACTCAAACGTCGAGACGAACCAAGTAACTTGATAGACTTTGGGGCTAACCAGGAGCAGGCAACTTCTACCGCTCCCTCGTCTCTCGTTACAGAATCCGCCAAAACTGGGGTTGCCGAAGATTATGTTCTGCTGAAGAGGACTCCAACTGTTCCTGTCAAGCCTCAAATGCAGGTCAAAAGTGACCACACTGCGTTTGGTACCGATACCGAAACTTCTAGTCTGAGTTTACCCAGCAATGAAGCTGAGATAGGTAGGATGGCCTTGAGCACCAATCTTACTAGCCAAGGACTTTCTACGAGCATCGAGGCATCTTCTGATAAGGGATCGATTCCTCTAGAGGAACCGAAGGAGACAATGGCACCTAGTGAAGATGTCGGTTTTAGGAATGATGGCTTCTCTGATATGGCAGATGAGAGGGCTGTTCCGAGAATGTTGGTGGATATCGAGCCTCTTCATGACCAATCAGATGCGTTACGTGAAGTTCGATATGCAGGTACAGAAAATATGTTGAAATCTTCTGGAACTCCTCAACAACTTGAGCTTAGTAATTCAGTGAGTCTTGAAGGTGACCGCGCATCAGATAGAAATTTGGACAGTCACGTTAACGCTGAACCTTCGTCAGCTGGTGCGAAGTTTGCTGATGTCAATAGTTCGGTTGGCGGAGTCTTGAAGCCAAAGGTCTTGAAACGGCCAGCCGAAGACATGAGCTCCACGGGCACTCCGATTATGGGGGTGAAAAAGAAAAAGAAAAAGAAGCGAGACATAGGTGCAGAAATGGGTTCCGAGCATGTACAGAAACTGATGGCATCGAAGAAGGCTGGGAACTTAGTCGGAAAAGTTGCAGAAAAATCCAATCAGGTCGGTTTGGGTTCCAGAGAGGATTTCCGGTCAACATATGAGAAAAAAAGCACTGCATCAACTAATTCGATATCACACGCAAGCGTGTTGCCTGGGTTTGGCCGAGGGAGCGATGAGTTCAATGTGCCCCAACTGTTAAATGATTTGCAAGCTTTTGCTCTGGATCCTTTCCATGGGGTTGAAAGGAATTGCCAAGTGATCGTTCAGAAGTTCTTCCTGCGGTTTCGGTCACTCGTTTATCAGAAAAGTTTGATTTCGTCGCCCTCATCTGAGGCCGAGTCCGCTGATCTTCGTGCAGTTAAATCTCCAGATGCTAGCCTTGGAACTGATAATTTAAGTGAGAACATTAGAGATCACTCAGTTAAACCCTTACTTAGACACGATGATCGAACAAAAGCGGGGCGAAAACGTGTTCCATCTGACCGTCTAGAGGAAATTGCAGCCAAGAAGTTAAAGAAAATGAATGATTTGAAATCGTTGGCATCAGAGAAAAAGGCTACCCAGAAACTCGCCGATAGCCAGAAACGAGAAACCCGAGATTCTGTAGTACCGACGACGACAATCAAGACGGTCAAGCGAGATTCTGCGAAGAAGTTGGTGCCTCCTTCAGTAAGGAAAGTCGATCCAACCATGTTGGTTATGAAGTTCCCTCCCGAGACATCACTTCCATCCATGAACGAGCTAAAGGCCAGGCTCGGTCGATTCGGGCCAATCGACCAATCAGGTCTCCGTATCTTCTGGAAAACATCAACATGTCGTGTCGTCTTCCTCTACAAACCAGATGCTCAAGCAGCCTACAAGTATGCAATGGGAAACAAGTCCTTATTCGGGAATGTCAACGTAAAGTACCAACTTCGAGAAGTAGGAACTCCTGTAACCGAAACACCCGAATCCGAGAAGGGAAGTGCAACAACAGACGACAATCCTATCGAAGCCCCCAGGATGAAGGATCCAATGGTCGTCCTACCAGGACGAGCATCATCGACCCCAGTGGTACATCAACCACCCCTTCTACCACTCCCAACAGTTCAGCTCAAATCCTGCCTGAAAAAGTCATCAGGTGACGAATCCGGTGTACCGAGTCTCGGCACGGTAGGCGGCAGCAGCAGCAAAGGAACGACCCGAGTGAAGTTCATGTTGGACGGCGACGAAAGTAATAGAAACAACATCATGAATGCTAATTTCGCAGATGGTGGAACATCTCCTTCTGTTGCAATGGATATTAATAGTAACTTCTTTCAAAAGGTCGTTTCTACACCTCCTCCCCTCCCAATCCCTACAAATATTATGCATCAACAACACTCGGAAATGCCACAACCTAGAAATGCACTCAACCACCACAACCACCACCACCACCACCACCACCACCTCCACCACCACACACCCACCATGGCACCACCGCCCACCACTACCCCGACCCCGACCACCGACATTTCCCAGCAGCTGCTGAGCCTTTTATCAAGGTGCAGCGATGTGGTCACCAATGTCACAGGCTTGTTAGGCTATGTGCCATACCACCCTCTTTGACAACAACAAAACTTGCACAATATCTCCAAGGACAAGAACTTTAGGTGTCCCGTGGCTAATACCGCCATTCCCGAACCGGGGGAAGAGAGAAAAATGAGTACGGTTCAGTTGGGACCGAGACTTGTTCGAGAGCGGAATGCATAGCTAGCTTCTCCTAAAGTGAATCAAAAGGGGGTTGGAAGGGATGGGATAGTTGGGCACTCCATAATGTGTACTGATATATTGCTATTGGTATTATATTTTGGTCAATTGCTCAATTCCTTTCTTTCTTTATCTTATCTTATTTTCCAGAATTTCTGATGTAAATTGTTCTCTCTCTCTCTCTCTCTCTCTCTCTCTTTCTCTCTCTCTTTTTTTTTTTTTTTTTTACTTTAAAATATAATTTTAGTCCTAAATTTTGGGTGGTATTCATTTTGTTTTTTAATATAATTTAAATTTAATTACGTGGCATCTTTTGAAAATTTATGGTAGGTTGATAAAAATTAATTTTATTTTTATAAAAAAAAAAAGATTAAACTAGTTATGGTATCAATTTTAAGATTTTTTTTTTCAATGGTATTAATTTATTTTAATACCAAGAAAGCCATAGCATCTCTTCCTTTTCGCCTTGTTTCGAGGGCTTACGGGGAAGTCACTCATTCAAACCTCCCCCTTCTCCTGTCAGGGCTTACGGGGAAGTCACTCATTTAACCCTCCCCCTCTCCTGTCAGGGCTTACGGGGAAGTCGCTCATTCAAACCTCCTCTCTCTCCAGTCAGGCTTACAGGAAAGTCACTCATTCAACCCTCCCCCGTCTCCCGTCAGGGCTTATGGAGAAGTCACTCATTCAAACCTCCCCTCTCCGGTTAGGACTTACAGGCAAGTCACTCATTCAAACCTCCTCCTCTCCAAACGCTTTGGTCTATGCCAAATATATATATATATATATCTATGGGCGCGATAATTAAAATTTAAAAAGTTAAATTTTATTTTTGAAGTTTCGTGAGAATTCAAATGCCTTTTGGTGAAAATTATATTAAAGAAATTGGGACGAAATAATTTTTTTTAATAAAATATTAAAAAGATCTAATATAATTAGGTGGTAATTGCTATGTTTTTTTCGTAGGTAAGAGATATAAATTGTCATACTTCATATTTGTTATGTTAAAAAACAACTTTTTAATAAAATCTCTAAATGAGTGAAATTCATGTAAAGAAAAGTTGTGCAAAGACAGTAGACTTTTGTCATGTCCCAAATTTCCACAAAGAAAGGAAGGAAAAAAAAAAAAGAAAAGAAAGTCAACTCTATCATAATGGATATAAATTACACTCGATTGTTATAAACGTCCCTAGATCAGACAAAGGAACGAGGCCAAGCAATGATCGACCAGATGGGTCAATGCTGACCAAATGGGTCAAGCCCATCGAACCCAAATCGAGACAAATTGGTCTTGACGTACTTCAGACCGAACCAAATCGATTCAAGTCTCGAATCATCTGACCATGATCCCTTGCAAATTTATAAATTTCTAATTTATATTATATAAATTCATAAATTTTTAATTTCATTCTAATAGCCTTATCCTAAAACAATTACCAAATTAGAATACACAAAATTTAAATTTAAATTTAAATTTAATTATTATTATTATTATTATTATTTTGGTCTTATTTGAAAATATTAAAATACTGCCGTTTTTTTTAATTATTATTATTATTTTATTTTTCTTCGAAAATAGCGCTTTCAAACGCGTCAGGTCTCACGCACGCTCCCACGCATTGGACGCGTTTAAGCAAAATTTAAAAATAATATATATTTTTTAAATTTTGAATTTAAAAATAAAATAATATTTAATTATTTGTTGCTTTAGAATCATCTTAACCATCGATCATTTTTTTTTATATTCATTAATTTTCAACAACCAATTGAAATTAATAATAATAATAATAATAATAATATAATACATAATATTTTATTTTTATTTTTATTTTTATTTAAAATTGAATTACAAGTTTCATTTTATAACTTTCTATTTTTTCTAATATTTTAATTAGTTTAATTTTATTTCCATATTTATTAGGAAAAAAAAACCATCTTGAGTTGGATTTTGAAATTTTTTTTAATGATTTTAAAATTAATTATTTATCTGTAATTTACGTTAATAAATAAAATCCCATAAAATTAAAATATTAAACATTCGGGAGTCGAAGTCCAAGTTGTATCGATTTTGGCTATTTATACACGGATTCTGACTTAGAGACGTTCAGTCATAATCCTGCGCATGGTAGCTTCGCGCCACAGGCTTTTCAACCATGCGCGATGTGTCGGGAGCCTTTGGGCGTGCGACACGAGCCTCGTTGAGCATTAAATGTTGCGACGTTACCTTCTAACTTGGGCTGGCTTGAGGATGGTTGATGGCTGGTACGATGATGAAACATGCAAGGTGGGGTGGAGTTGGGTACCTTTCGGGCGTGCGGCATGAACCTTGCTGAGTGTGACGTTGTGGTGACCCACCCGTAATTGTGAAAAATTAGCCGAATTCGGTTTTGGTCAACTGAACCGACCAAAAACACCTAATCGGCCAACCGAACTGAATGGTTGGTTCTAAAAGACGGTCTGAATTGTTTAGATTATTAAATGATTTGAACCCTAAATACACAGATTCTGACTTAGAGGCGTTCGGTCATAATCCAGCGCACGGTAGCTTTGCGCCACATGCTTTTCAACCATGCACGATGTGTCGGGTGCCTCTGAACGTGCGACACGAGTCTCGTTGAGCATAAAATGTTGCAATGTTACCTTCTAACTTGGGCTAGCTTGAAGATGGTTGATGGCTGGTACGATGATGAAACATGCCAAGTTGGGTGAAGCCCGGTGCCTTCGGACGTGTGGCATGAACCTCGTGAATGTGTGACATTCTGGTGAGCCACCCGTAATTGTGAATGATTAACCATATTCGGTTTTGGTCAACTTAACCGACCAAAAACACCCGATCGGCCAACTGAACTGAACGGTTGGTTCTAGAAGACCATCTAAATTGTTTGGTTATTAAATGTTGCTTCTAAAAAATTGGAAAATGATTTATTTTGGTAATTAAAAAATAGCATAAAAAGGGCGAAAAAAAAATATATAATGAATAATAAATAAAAGAAAACGCGTAATAATTTATTTATTTTTATTTTTTTATATAAAAGAAAAATAAATAAAGGAATTGGAATCGGAATCGGAATCCCAATAAAAGAGAGGCTTAGAATTTACGTTAAAAAAATTCCTTACCCCTAAATCCCTATATATATGTTCGAACGGTTCGAACGATTCACTCATAAGCTTCAAGTTTCGATTTCATTTCGTGTTTAGAACATCTCTGAATCCTGAAAATTGCTTTTGATTTCCTTTGAATTCTTCTTCTTCTTCTTCTTCTTCTTCTGATTCTTCTGATTCTTCATCCATGGAGTGTAGATCGTTAGATATCAACATCAAGAATGCCAAAGGCCTAAAGAATGTCAATCTCTTCTCAACGATGGATGTCTACGCCGTCGTTTCGATCTCTGGTGATCCGCGCGGGAAATTGAAGCAGAAGACTCCCGTGGCTAATGACGGAGGCTCGGATCCTCACTGGAATTTTGCTATGAAGTTCACAATCGATGAGGCTGCTGCACAGAGTAATCGGCTGAATTTGAAGATCAAACTCGTTTCCGAACGGAGTTTAGGTGATAAGAAGATCGGGAAGGTTATTGTTCCGATTAAGCAATTGCTCGATGAATGTGCCAAAGGAGATGAAGGAAACTCCGAGAGAACGGTCAGTTTTGGCGTTAGGACGGCTAGCGGAAAGGAAAAAGGTAACGTCGAATTTTCGTATAAATTTGGGGAAAAATACACTGTTCAGGCACCGCCGCCTCCGCCGGTGATGAAAACCGGCGAGGCAGTAGCGGCATATCCCCAAGGTTATGCTGGATCTAGTTCTGGATATCCGGCTGGAGGTGCTTATCCGCCTCCAGCAGGGAGCGCTTATGCGTATCCGCCTCCACCGCAAGGGAACGGATATCCACCTCCTCCACCGCAAGGGTACGGATATCCACCTGCTCCACAGGCTGGATATGCGTACGGCGGTTACCCGCCGCAGTCAGGATACGGATATCCGCCGGTTCAACAACAACATAAGCCGCAGAAGAGCGGTATTGGCGGCATGGCTTTGGGAGCCGGAGCTGGTCTGGTTGGAGGTTTGTTGATCGGCGATATGATTTCCGATATAGGTGATTCGGCTGATGCTGGTTTTGGCGATGGCTTTGATTTCTAAGACTCTGCTTCTTCTTCTCCTCTACTCTTCATTTTCTTCAAGCTTATGATTAAGGAACCTATTATAATAAATTAGGAGTGTTTTTCTGTTAGAAATGATCTTCAGTTGTTTGAATTTTCACTTTTTGTTTTGATGATAGCTTCCATTTCTAAGCCTCTTGCTTCCATTTCTAAGTCTCTCCTTCTCCTTCTCTCTATTGATGAAATTGGAGTTCGGAGTTTATAAGTAAGGAATATTCTCTCTATTGGAGTTTATAAGTAAGGTCCAAAGCAAAATCATGAGAGTATATGCTCAAAGTGGACAATATCACACCATTGTAGAAAGTCGTGTTCAAATAACATGGTATCAGAGTGATGTCTTAAGCTTAGAATAGAATCATCAAATGTGGAACAAAAGAAAAAAAAAAAAAAAAGCTCGGTCGTATGCATAGTAAAAAATAACTAAAACTCCAAAAAAAAAATGAGTCGAACCTCAATTAAGGGGAGCCGAACTTTGTTTGATGAGAGGTGTTCGGATGAAAATCCCACATCCCCTAATTTAGGGAATGATCATGGTGTGAGCAGTTTTTTCTAACAATATCATATGATTGTAGAAAATGAGTCGAGTCTAATTAAGGGAAGTCGTACTTTGTTCGAGTGGAGGTGTTTGGATGAAAGTTCCGCAATCGGCTAATTTAGAGAATATCATGGTGTGAGGCGTTTTTCTAACAATATCATATGATTGTAGAAAATGAGTTGAGCCTCAATGAAGGGAAGTCGTACTTTGTTCGAGGGGAGGTGTTCGGATGAAAGCCCCACATCTCCTAATTTAGGAAATAATCATGGTCTGAGACGTTTTTTTAACTTACAATATCATACTACTGTGTAGAATTTAAAAGCAAAGTCATGAGAATTTATAGTCATAATATCATATCATATATATATATATATTAATATCGGTGGATAAAGTTAACTAGATTTTTAAATTCAATTAGTTTTTTTAATTAATAAATTAATAATTATCGAAAATAATAGCTATCTATACTAAACAATTCAAATAACAAAAATAAAACAATTTTTTTAAAAAAAATAGTTAACCTTTTTATATGCAATATTTATTAATTTTCAATTAGTTATTAAAAAAATATTTATTTAAATAGTTAATTTCCTACAAAAAAAAAATCTGTTTAAAAATAAAATTGTAAATCTTAACAATAAAACTTTATATATATTATATATCAAAAAATAAATTGGCCTGTACGGACATTCTTATTTCAAATAACTCAAATATTTTTTATAATTTTAATAATTAAATATAGCCTAAATTAGATTTAATGAGTAATTATATTATAATTATATTCCCTATTTTTTATAAAAAAAATTGAGAGTAAAATTAAAATTATTAAAAAGTTTAAAGTTTAAAGATAAAATATAAAATATAAAATATAATGATAAATTAAAAGATACAAACATAATTTCAAAACCACCTAAATTTAAAAAATAAAATCTTCAAAATTCACTTTTCTCAATTTCACTCTAATTATAAAAAAAAAAAATCATTAACTCAAGGTTATATACGGTAAGCCGTTGTTATTTCTCTTTTGCTTGCTTATATAACGTCTCTTTAAAAAATCTCTCTCGATTTCTAAAACCTTCTCTTAAAACCGAGGCTAGAGGCTCGAGCATACGTCGCTTGCCCGTAAGCAACGCAAGAACGAATTAGCTTAGCTCACTTGTCGTTGGAAAGTGAGTGCCGCACAATCGCAAGTCCGCTGCCATTAAAAGTGCGATTGTGACAAGTGGTCGATGGATTACAGAGCATTCAAAGTAAACGTTACCTGTGTCGAAGGAATCGAAGGAGTTCTAAGTTTCGTCAATTTCTTCCACAAATCCAAAGTCTATGCGGCGGTTTCCATCACCGGAGACTTGCTGGCCAACCAAGAAACGCCACTTGCGAAGTACTTCGGTGAAAATCCAGTGTGGAATTGGCCGATGAAGTTTTATTTGAAGGAATCGAAGTTACAGGAAAATGCCCTAACTCTGAGGATTCAACTGAGGCGAAAACGAATTTTCGGAGGAGACGAATACATTGCGGAAGCTTTGGTTCCGTTGAAGAATCTTTTTGATGGCAACAAGAATGTGATGGATGAAAATTACTGTTCATCGTGGTTGCTTTCGCCATCTGGCGGCCGTCGTGGTTTTGTGTATTTTTCGTATTACTTTAGTCGGACATACGCTGCCACCGCCGAGAGTGACGGTAACAGCATAGTTGCTCCACTGTCTGCTTGGGATTGTTAAAACGATCAAATTTATATAATATGTTTGTTAGTTCAATACGACTCTCCACACTGGTATAATATTGTCGACTTTGAGTATAAGCTTTCCTCACTTTGCTTTGGGGTTTCCCAATAGACTTCATGCCAATGGGGATAGTATTTCTTGATTATAAACGAATAATCATTCTCTAAATTAACTGATGTGGAACTTTCATCCTGTTTAGAACGGTTGAGATCGTAAATATCTAAATGAAGGACGGTTTTATAAAAAAATTCTACGAAGACACTTTTCGAGAGTTACGTACCAACAACACTAAAAATTCATTCAACCAAATCTACTTCTTTTAATAAGTTTTTGAGATTATGATTTTACTTATAATAAGACTTATTTAAAATTTAAAATTGAGTGAATTATTTAAAAAATTTAATTTTATTATTCTAAATAAAAGTATCAAATTTAATTATTATTATGATATCTAGATAAATTAGTGTATAACAAATTTTTAACTAATTTCATCGATAAATAGATAAATATTAAAAATAATTTAAAAATAGCCTAAATATTAATTCATCTAATAATATTTAAAAAAAAATAACCATGAATTCTAAAAATAACATTAATATTTTTTTTTCAAGAAAATTAAATACTAAGATTAAAAAAAATATATATCATTTTCATCTCTTTTTTCTCTGGCTTTTTTTTTAATACTTTTTCATCCTTCGTTGCAAAATCGAATTAGACTTGATATATTATTTTGATATGATAAATTAGTTCAATATTATCATTAATATGGGTTGTCCGGGACTCGAACCCAGAACTAGTCAGATGGAGTAGATAACTTTTTTAATCCCTCCCCAAACCGTGCTTGCATTTTTTCATTGCACAAGGCTTTACCTATGTATACGTCTAAAACGCAGTTACTTCCCTAGGCAGGATTCTAACTAAGAACGTCTTTTTTTCATTTTTCGATCACCAAAATTTCTCACATTTATTGGTCTTCTTAAATAAAATAATTCAAATTAAAAAAAAAAAGTTAAAAAATCAATCATTGTCCATACCTACGACTATTTCTAGTCAAATTACAAGTCTAGTTCTTTAAAGTTCAACGACGAAATAGACAACCTTAAAAGTTCATAAACTAAACTTAAACATCCTATACAACTTTACACGAGATGGTTAAGGTATCGAGTTCTAACCCTAAGCCATAACCAAATCATGGGAAATATGAAAGAATTGAATTGATTGTGTAGTGAGGGTAATAGTATCACATATCTGGATTGGACTCCTCAGGAAGAACAGTCAGAGTGATGATGCCATTAAGTGATCTTTTCACAACTGCCTTCAATGGAATCCCAACTCTATCTCCCATAATTTCAATGATCTGCCAAAAACTCGAACGGTCAGATACATAATCCTTGCCTAATGACGACGACAACGACAACGACAACGACAACAACAACAACATTTCCCGCCCCATCCTTATTTAGACGACAGAGAAAACTCTCCCCGTGCCCTCCCCTTCCCCATCTCGACAGGAGTGGACTCCTGTTGAGGGGGGGGAAAACAATCCCTAGTCTCGCAACAGTAGAGAAGGTTACTCGAACTCCAGAAAACAGAAATTTCCCAAAAACTTTATAAAAAAATTACCAAGTTTGGGAGTTTATCATAATTGTTCGTTTCCCTCGAATATTCGAAATAGTTGCAATCCAATGAATCTAAGCACATAATTTTGAGGTATTTGCTCAAATTTAAGAGTACAATTCTAAGAACTCTAGAAGTGGTTTTTATTTACAAACATTAGGATTCAAGCAAGAATGAACTTTTCTATCCAAAGAATTCACAAGATAACAGTATGCTGGCAATACCATTGCTAAGAATTAAGAACTAAAAGTAGATCCAAATACCTCTTGGATACTGCCAACAGGTTGCTTATCGAACTCGATGACGACATCACCAGGACGGAACCCAGCACGACTAGCAGGGGATCCAGGAGTTACCTATTGAAGTATTTGCTAAATCTATTCACTCATGCCAAATTTAATACATAAAATAAGAAGAAAAAGATAGAAAAGGAAGAANCCAAAAAAAAAATGAGTCGAACCTCAATTAAGGGGAGCCGAACTTTGTTTGATGAGAGGTGTTCGGATGAAAATCCCACATCCCCTAATTTAGGGAATGATCATGGTGTGAGCAGTTTTTTCTAACAATATCATATGATTGTAGAAAATGAGTCGAGTCTAATTAAGGGAAGTCGTACTTTGTTCGAGTGGAGGTGTTTGGATGAAAGTTCCGCAATCGGCTAATTTAGAGAATATCATGGTGTGAGGCGTTTTTCTAACAATATCATATGATTGTAGAAAATGAGTTGAGCCTCAATGAAGGGAAGTCGTACTTTGTTCGAGGGGAGGTGTTCGGATGAAAGCCCCACATCTCCTAATTTAGGAAATAATCATGGTCTGAGACGTTTTTTTAACTTACAATATCATACTACTGTGTAGAATTTAAAAGCAAAGTCATGAGAATTTATAGTCATAATATCATATCATATATATATATATATATTAATATCGGTGGATAAAGTTAACTAGATTTTTAAATTCAATTAGTTTTTTTAATTAATAAATTAATAATTATCGAAAATAATAGCTATCTATACTAAACAATTCAAATAACAAAAATAAAACAATTTTTTTAAAAAAAATAGTTAACCTTTTTATATGCAATATTTATTAATTTTCAATTAGTTATTAAAAAAATATTTATTTAAATAGTTAATTTCCTACAAAAAAAAAATCTGTTTAAAAATAAAATTGTAAATCTTAACAATAAAACTTTATATATATTATATATCAAAAAATAAATTGGCCTGTACGGACATTCTTATTTCAAATAACTCAAATATTTTTTATAATTTTAATAATTAAATATAGCCTAAATTAGATTTAATGAGTAATTATATTATAATTATATTCCCTATTTTTTATAAAAAAAATTGAGAGTAAAATTAAAATTATTAAAAAGTTTAAAGTTTAAAGATAAAATATAAAATATAAAATATAATGATAAATTAAAAGATACAAACATAATTTCAAAACCACCTAAATTTAAAAAATAAAATCTTCAAAATTCACTTTTCTCAATTTCACTCTAATTATAAAAAAAAAAAATCATTAACTCAAGGTTATATACGGTAAGCCGTTGTTATTTCTCTTTTGCTTGCTTATATAACGTCTCTTTAAAAAATCTCTCTCGATTTCTAAAACCTTCTCTTAAAACCGAGGCTAGAGGCTCGAGCATACGTCGCTTGCCCGTAAGCAACGCAAGAACGAATTAGCTTAGCTCACTTGTCGTTGGAAAGTGAGTGCCGCACAATCGCAAGTCCGCTGCCATTAAAAGTGCGATTGTGACAAGTGGTCGATGGATTACAGAGCATTCAAAGTAAACGTTACCTGTGTCGAAGGAATCGAAGGAGTTCTAAGTTTCGTCAATTTCTTCCACAAATCCAAAGTCTATGCGGCGGTTTCCATCACCGGAGACTTGCTGGCCAACCAAGAAACGCCACTTGCGAAGTACTTCGGTGAAAATCCAGTGTGGAATTGGCCGATGAAGTTTTATTTGAAGGAATCGAAGTTACAGGAAAATGCCCTAACTCTGAGGATTCAACTGAGGCGAAAACGAATTTTCGGAGGAGACGAATACATTGCGGAAGCTTTGGTTCCGTTGAAGAATCTTTTTGATGGCAACAAGAATGTGATGGATGAAAATTACTGTTCATCGTGGTTGCTTTCGCCATCTGGCGGCCGTCGTGGTTTTGTGTATTTTTCGTATTACTTTAGTCGGACATACGCTGCCACCGCCGAGAGTGACGGTAACAGCATAGTTGCTCCACTGTCTGCTTGGGATTGTTAAAACGATCAAATTTATATAATATGTTTGTTAGTTCAATACGACTCTCCACACTGGTATAATATTGTCGACTTTGAGTATAAGCTTTCCTCACTTTGCTTTGGGGTTTCCCAATAGACTTCATGCCAATGGGGATAGTATTTCTTGATTATAAACGAATAATCATTCTCTAAATTAACTGATGTGGAACTTTCATCCTGTTTAGAACGGTTGAGATCGTAAATATCTAAATGAAGGACGGTTTTATAAAAAAATTCTACGAAGACACTTTTCGAGAGTTACGTACCAACAACACTAAAAATTCATTCAACCAAATCTACTTCTTTTAATAAGTTTTTGAGATTATGATTTTACTTATAATAAGACTTATTTAAAATTTAAAATTGAGTGAATTATTTAAAAAATTTAATTTTATTATTCTAAATAAAAGTATCAAATTTAATTATTATTATGATATCTAGATAAATTAGTGTATAACAAATTTTTAACTAATTTCATCGATAAATAGATAAATATTAAAAATAATTTAAAAATAGCCTAAATATTAATTCATCTAATAATATTTAAAAAAAAATAACCATGAATTCTAAAAATAACATTAATATTTTTTTTTCAAGAAAATTAAATACTAAGATTAAAAAAAATATATATCATTTTCATCTCTTTTTTCTCTGGCTTTTTTTTTAATACTTTTTCATCCTTCGTTGCAAAATCGAATTAGACTTGATATATTATTTTGATATGATAAATTAGTTCAATATTATCATTAATATGGGTTGTCCGGGACTCGAACCCAGAACTAGTCAGATGGAGTAGATAACTTTTTTAATCCCTCCCCAAACCGTGCTTGCATTTTTTCATTGCACAAGGCTTTACCTATGTATACGTCTAAAACGCAGTTACTTCCCTAGGCAGGATTCTAACTAAGAACGTCTTTTTTTCATTTTTCGATCACCAAAATTTCTCACATTTATTGGTCTTCTTAAATAAAATAATTCAAATTAAAAAAAAAAAGTTAAAAAATCAATCATTGTCCATACCTACGACTATTTCTAGTCAAATTACAAGTCTAGTTCTTTAAAGTTCAACGACGAAATAGACAACCTTAAAAGTTCATAAACTAAACTTAAACATCCTATACAACTTTACACGAGATGGTTAAGGTATCGAGTTCTAACCCTAAGCCATAACCAAATCATGGGAAATATGAAAGAATTGAATTGATTGTGTAGTGAGGGTAATAGTATCACATATCTGGATTGGACTCCTCAGGAAGAACAGTCAGAGTGATGATGCCATTAAGTGATCTTTTCACAACTGCCTTCAATGGAATCCCAACTCTATCTCCCATAATTTCAATGATCTGCCAAAAACTCGAACGGTCAGATACATAATCCTTGCCTAATGACGACGACAACGACAACGACAACGACAACAACAACAACATTTCCCGCCCCATCCTTATTTAGACGACAGAGAAAACTCTCCCCGTGCCCTCCCCTTCCCCATCTCGACAGGAGTGGACTCCTGTTGAGGGGGGGGAAAACAATCCCTAGTCTCGCAACAGTAGAGAAGGTTACTCGAACTCCAGAAAACAGAAATTTCCCAAAAACTTTATAAAAAAATTACCAAGTTTGGGAGTTTATCATAATTGTTCGTTTCCCTCGAATATTCGAAATAGTTGCAATCCAATGAATCTAAGCACATAATTTTGAGGTATTTGCTCAAATTTAAGAGTACAATTCTAAGAACTCTAGAAGTGGTTTTTATTTACAAACATTAGGATTCAAGCAAGAATGAACTTTTCTATCCAAAGAATTCACAAGATAACAGTATGCTGGCAATACCATTGCTAAGAATTAAGAACTAAAAGTAGATCCAAATACCTCTTGGATACTGCCAACAGGTTGCTTATCGAACTCGATGACGACATCACCAGGACGGAACCCAGCACGACTAGCAGGGGATCCAGGAGTTACCTATTGAAGTATTTGCTAAATCTATTCACTCATGCCAAATTTAATACATAAAATAAGAAGAAAAAGATAGAAAAGGAAGAATGTAATGCAAAAAAGGTATCATTATTACCATGGCTACAAGAACCCCTTTAGTAACGTCTGGAAAAGATGCATCTCTTTCTTTAAGTTGTTCGATTATCATTTCGTTGAGATCGATCATTTTCAATCCAAGCCAAGGCCGAATAACTCTCCTGTATCATCACACTTTATATTATAATCATCATTGGAAAATAAAAATAAAGCCATTTCATTCAATCCTTGAATGCAAAATAAAAACAGTGGTGAAATAAATCTATTTTACACATGAATGGTGTGATGTCCCACGTTGGTTGAGGAGGAGAACAAACCACCATTTATAAGGGTGTGGGAACCTTCCCTAAGCAGACGCGTTTTAAAGCCTTGAGAGGAAGCCTGAAAGAGAAAGCTCAAAGAGGACAATATTTGCTAGCGGTGAGTCTGGGTCGTAACAAATGGTATCAGAGCCAGACATCGGATGATGTGTCAGCCTTCTCACTGTACCCCGAAGGGGGGTAGACACGAGGCGGTGTGCAGTAAGGACGCTGGGCCTCAAAGGGGGTAGATTTGGGGGCAGTCCTACATCGATTGGAGGAAGGAAAGAGTGCCAGTAAGGACGCTGGGCCCCGAAGGGGGGTGGATTGTGATGTCCCACATTGGTTGGGGAGGAGAACAAACCACCATTTATAAAAGTGTGGAAACCTTCCCCTATCAGATGGGTTTTAAAGCCTTGAGGGGAAGCCCAAAAGGGAAAGCCCAAAGAGGACAATATCTGCTAGTGGTGGCCATGGGTTGTTACAACCCAAATGGCGTATATTCAATTCAATTCACTAGTAAAGCAATATTAGTCTCTAAATGTGTTACAATACCCTCTTTTCTTGAATTGCTCTGTAATTTTGGAGACTGAATCAATTGGTACAGCGAAACTTAATCCAACGGCATCATCCACTTTCATAATATTTACACCAATAACTTCTCCATCCACATTAACAAGAGGACCCCCAGAATTTCCCTACATGAGAAATACTGATTACAAAATGCCAGTGTTTCGTATTTATTTTAACAACAATGAAGCACGTTCGATATTGCAAAGGGAATGAGA